CAGCGGGGCTGCCGTAGCTTTGCGCTTTGAGGAAGCGTAAGTTAGGTCACCGACATTTCGTTCTAGTCTTAGAACAAGTACGAGTTTAGCGGATCGCAATCTACTTACTCCAAGAGGTATTATTGCCTTAACCAAAGGCTAATTAACTCTTTCGTTTAAAATTCAAAACTGACTTTTATTAATTTTTATCTGCGGCAAAGCCGCCAAATATTAAATGTATAGATTTTCCTAAATTATATAGTAAAATCTAAACACATGCATAACTACTGGCTATCCAGCCTCATACCGTATTCTTTTTTGGGTGCAGTCACACCATGCCCATCTCGTGTTACACACACCCCTGTTACCAGGGTACGTGTAATCCCATTACAGCCTTAGTTTCGCTTTGCTACTTTAATGGTGATAAATGTATCGTATTATTTTACATAATACAAAATACGTACGTTTTTACTAGATCTAAAAAAATGCACCTTCTTTATTACCTGAAGAGCTGCTAGCAACCCAAGCATACCACAACCTCTCATTTTACGGAATTTTATCATCTTCATAAATAACTACATCAAAGTGCAATGTCAGTTAGTATGATTGTCTAATAATGTATTTTGCACAATTGTACAAAACATATGATAGAGTATAGATAAGAATGAGTAAAAACTTTTACAGGTTCAGCTGCCAATTCTGACCAAATATTAGGTACAAGTGACTTACATCATACGGGGGGCTAAAATTGTCACCTAACTCTTAGCTCCGCTCTGTAATCCTGTACATGAATTTTGGCAAATGTGTAGAACTATGTATGGTAATCAACATTAGGTATTGCGGTTTGATAACATTGCGGAATTTAAGAGCGGGCTCAGTTTCTGCCTTATAACTAGAGGCTTGCAAATCATGTGGTTCTCAGCAGCTATCTGACTGCATCGCATACTTACTTATGCATATCCTCCTCAGCTCAGACACACTCCCGGACATGATGCCCCGAAAGTATTGACAAGCTGACATCTGTACTTCACCTTAGACGTGCAATCAACTTCTGATCACTTGCACAATCTCTCATCGCTTTCTCTACCATCAACAAGGTCGAACATCATGCTCGTAAACCTCTTGCCAGCTGGTCTGGTTATGATTGCAACCCGTCGCGCTATGGCGTCAGATCAAAACGTTGGACATGGTTACAACTTCTTTCAATATACCGTACAAGATGTTATGGAAAAATTGGCCGGCACTCTCGAATCTGGTTACGAAGAGGGACTTTCTGCTGTTCAACTAGAGTCATACGAAGAAGATTTCTTGTTGCCATTTAGCATTGATGAACCTTCAAGAACACTGTTCAAGTACAGCAATAGTCTCGAGAAGATTGTTCCAATTCTTAACATCGCCAAGGAAGCACAGAACCAGCCAATTCCAACCAATGACTGGTGGTGCAATCTCATTCACGTCACACCTATTTCAAATGAGTCCAACTATCCTGCGTGGTCGAATCCATACGCTGTCAAGCTGCCTCGCGAGGTGCCGTATGGACTCCAAATATTTTACCCGTACACGCACCGGGTCATTGAACCACCAACAAACAATACTTTTAAACGATATAATCACACATACCACAATGACCTGACGCTGTCTTCTGAAGAATTTTTTATCGAACAACCTGTGTACGAGATTTTTGAATGGGACGAGGGAGGTGCCAAATTACGATTGTGTGACGTTTCCAGCGGCAAGTGCATGGATTCGGCATTAGTGAGTGGCATGGCATTTGTCTCA